CAGCTGACCCACTCACTTGGTGGGGGCACCGGCTCTGGAATGGGCACCTTGCTCATCAGCAAGATCCGTGAAGAGTATCCTGACCGCATCATGAACACCTTCAGTGTGGTCCCCTCACCCAAAGTATCTGACACTGTGGTTGAGCCCTACAATGCCACCCTCTCTGTCCACCAGTTGGTAGAGAACACTGACGAGACATATTGCATCAATAATGAGGCCCTCTATGATATCTGCTTCCGCACCCTCAAGCTGACCACACCAACCTACAGAGACCTGAACCATCTTGTCTCAGCCACTATGAGCGGTGTTACCACCTGTCTCCACTTCCCTGGTCAGCTTAATGCCGACCTCCGCAAACTAGCAGTCAACATGGTGCCCTTCCCACGTCTCCACTTCTTCATGCCTGGCTTTGCCCCACTAACCAGCTGTGGGAGCCAGCAGTACCAGGCCCTCACTGTGCCTGAGCTCACCCAACAGGTCTTCGATGCCAAGAACATGATGGCTGCCTGTGATCCCCACCATGGCCAGTACCTCACTGTGGCTGCCGTCTTCCGGGGCGGATGTCCATGAAGGAGGTGGATGAGCAGATGCTCAACGTACAGAATAAGAATAGCAGCTACTTCGTGGAATGGATCCCCAACAACGTCAAGACAGCTGTCTGTGACATCCCACCCCGTGACCTCAAGATGGCAGTCACTTTCATTGGTAACAGCACTGCCATCCAGGAGCTCTTCAAGCGCATCTCAGAGCAGTTCACAGCCATGTTCCGTCGGAAGGTCTTCCTCCACTGGTACACAGGTGAGGGTATGGACGAGATGGAGTTCACCGAGGCTGAGAGCAACATGAACGACCTCGTCTCTGAGTACCAGCAGTACCAGGATGCCACCGCAGAAGAGGAGGAGGATTTCGGTGAGGAGGCCGAAGAGGCCTAAGACAGAGGCCATCACCTCAGGCTTCTCAGCTCCCTTAACCTTCTTCCTCAGCTGCCCCTTTCCTCTCCCTCAGAATTTGCATTTTATGCCTCTGTCTTTTTTCCCCCTTCCCTTGAGAAGGTTCTATAATAGTGCCTCACACATAGTCGTCACTCAATAAATACTTGTTGTTTGTTGAATGTCTCCTCTCTTTTTCCACTCTGAGAAACTTAAGATTCCTGCCACTCTAAGTCACCCTGTATTTCCCTCTGGCACCCATGCCTTCCATCTGTCCAGTTAATATTTCCCTCTGTTTTCAAGATAATACTCCAGGAAGCTGGGTCTCCTCCAGATCTTGTTTAGAACCATGTGCTATAAACCCAGATGGCCACCAGCCTCAGTCCAAAGTGTATGCCAGGGTAGTCACGGAGAAAGGAAACCAGTGAACTCACAGCATGTAGAAGTCACTAGAAGGAAAGGACTGGGATTTCCCATTCTAGAGCAATTTTAAGGAGGGGACTCCAGATTATTTCAGCCATCACCAGGCATTTCCCTGTTCCTGTCACTTCAGGGCTGGTATTAACAGTATTATCTCCATTTTTGGTTTCCCTTGAAGCTGTCCTGAGCTCCCAGTTTCTTTTGGAGGGGTCTGCCTTGCTTGGTCAAGTGGGATCCTTACCTCCCCCACTTCACCTCCCTCTCACATTTTATTCCTGTTCCACTTTAAATATGAAAAAATAACAGGCTTGACATGGCAATGTGTG